TTGTTGCATTTTTGAATTAGACTTATCTGTAATAGTTTTTGACTTATGTCAATTTATGTGTCAAAATTGCGTCGTGCATAAACCCACAGAAAAATTCATAACTTCAGAACCATTTAAAATAACTTAAAATGTTGAGTAAAATTTTGAATGGCACACGTGYGTTATTACTAGTGTTAGGCGATTCGAAGAATAAAATATTGTATTCAATTCGTCTTTGTGTAAATCGGTTCATTTTTTCCACCTCGTGGTTGATAAACTCGTTTAATAATAAAATAAAGCGTCCGATTTACACTCAAACTCGTCGAATAAATAACTATAATTTCATTGCAAATTCCATTTGATTTTGATTCTTTTGTACAGAGTGATACAAAAAACTTTTTAAAATAAAACAAAACACTCAGATTTGATTAAATTTATTCTGTAATCGCATATTCAWWTAAGCTTTTAACTTTTTTGTATTATAATTTTGTATGTACTTCAGTGAAGAAAAACTTTTTAGGGAGTCTGTATAAATTTCCCAATAGCAGCAACATAATTTTATGACAGCTTTATCTCTCGCTTTCTATTATGAGTCCCAAAATACTATTAAGAGAAGTGGGTGTAAAATGGCCTATAGGGTTAAATTTGCTCCTATAGTAAAAGAAATATACTGATTTAAATCTTGAAGTAAAGCTCTAAACGATCAATAAAAAAATTATTAAGCTTTATAGACACTCTTATCTTCTTTCACTTTCACATTTTTTTTGCAATCTAAGAAATATTGTAATCAAATTTCCTTCTCTTTATATTTTAGTTTAGCTCAATTTTTTGACTCATTTTTTTTTAAAGTAGCAATAACAAAGTACAACACGCTGTCCCAGTAATATTGCCACTATGAGTGGCTGTTATAGAAAACACGAACGGCAAGAATTCAAAATAAACTCTCATCCCTTACCATTTCTTCCCCAGCGAGTTATAAATAAATTTAAAGTGTTCATGTTTTATAAAAGTAGAAAATAACTACAAGCTGATTTAAGGAGAGATTTTATATACACGAATGTGGAGCTCAAAGGCTTATTTTGTTTTAAGTTTGGATCTGGTAAAAGTTTTCAGATAAATTTAGTTCAAGTGGGAGGAAGATAAACTCGGAAAATAAGTGGTTTTATTAAATTCTAAAAATGTTTCTGTATTGTCYTTATCACCTAATAGTCTGGACTATTGAAAGCAAATAATTGATTTGTAATCTAATTTGAAAATTTCTATGTGCATAAACAACATTTGAAGGAAAACAGAGTCCCTCTGCCGTTCCAAAATCCAATGAGCTTTCGCTGAATGCACCCTCGATAGAAAACATCTCGAGTCCATTAAATGTTAGTCATCTGCTTTTACAGCGTGGGAGACAATTTAGTGTAATATTTTATTATGCCAGTGTTTATGTGTGACATAATTGGATACTTTTATTGGCTGTAAAATATCGGTCGATAAACAAGTTGATTCAACCACGACCCTCGGGCATATTATGTTTACAATGTGTTTACAGCGACTTTTTCATATAGATTCACCACAATGAAATTTCCACAGCGCAATCTTAAACGTGATTGATTACAAGATTATAGCTCGTTCCAATAACTCCCCAGAATTAATAATCGATGACAGGGATTAGCACAGATGCAAATTTTCTAATTACACTCTTGAAGTATTTGCATTCCAGTCTTTACACTTCTTGAATCCAGTCCCCGGTTTTGTGTTAATTAAAGAATACCAAGAAAACAGAAAACAAGTTTCTTATTGAGTCACGAGGCAACATTGCATCAATATTACCAGAATCTATTTCTTGAACTTCGATTCGAAGGGATGAGCAGCTGGAGTTGTTCAACTCGAATTGAAATGCACCAACTGTTGCCGCAATGGGATTTGCCAAATCGACATTGTAAAAGCCATAATAATTGAACATTGCTACCAATATATGGTTTACAAGATAAACAGATGGATTTGGCAACGCTCACTTGAGGTTCACACGCGATTTTCAATCGAAATCAGCCATGTGAGTGAGCAGTGAAACTTTGAGGAAATCTAATTAATTACCAAACTTTTCTATAATTAATTGCCTCCAACGTAAATAAACTTGTTATTGACTTGAGTAACCTCTTTAACGGACATTAATAATAAATCACCCAATTATTTGCACACATACTTTGTCAAGCTAAGAAAACATGCTTTTTATGAACATGCACTGATGGCAAAAGTAAGAGAATTTGAATATTTAATGAATTATTCAACTATGTGTATACAAGGTTAGCAAAGTTAGATTTCAATCGCTCAAAATATTAAAAACGATTCAAGTTAATGCAAAAATAATATGAAATTATTCATTAGATTCAAGATTCTGATTCTCAAACATCAAATTCTGCATTAAAATAAGTTTAAAAAAATCAAAAATGGAAATTTCAAGTTTTTGTCAAAATTTACAATTAAAAACATAAAAATATACTACCTCTGTTCCAAATTATAGTTTACAAAAATATATATTATACAAATGCATACCATAATTTGGGGCAAAGGTAGTACTATTCTAATTGTAGCTCTAAATAATAGTTATATTTGTAATTTGCCTCCATTTTGATTTTTTAATTATTAATTATTAAAGAACGCGACATCAWKTGCGATGTTTTAATAAAGAGAGCAAATTAAAACAAAGCTCGTCTCATAAGAYCTTGAGGCACTCATTCTTTAAACTTTAATTCGTGCTTCAAGACTGGTCTTATAAAACTTGTTTTTTAATATCGATACTACAATATACTACGTCATTTTTAGGTTTTTAATTATTGGAATAAAATGTAAWTTTYTTATTTTCGTTTTTATTTTTTTCAAACTAAAAGACCTAGACGTTTTTAACTAGGACGTTTTAAAAACAGTTTCTTACAAGGAATTTAAATCTGTCATTGTATTTTACAAAGCGCTTTTAATGTCAGAGTTACAACACTCAAGTTTGGATTTTCTTATGGACACAATATTTGATTTCTGTATTTTTGAGWAGTCTTCTTGTTCTGATTACAACGATGTATCACACAATATGATCAAATTTTACATGCTGATCAAAATTAAGAAAAGGAGTTTTTGCGATGAGTGCTTTGGAAAAAACGCCAACAATTTTAATTAACAAACTAAATTTTAAAGCTGGTGCATTCGAGCATCTTTTAAAACGAAAATAACAAATTTCCGTTTTTTTCCAATAATTTAAAAACTAAAAATAACACATTAAATTTTTTTAGATTATTGTTCAGCATAAAAATGTGCAACTTTGCAATAATTTAACCGATCTCGTATCTCTTATAATAACTGAGATCCCTATAGTGGAGCTCGAAACACCCTGTATAAGTGTTTTAGAATTTTTTTTATCAAAGCAGCGTCAGTACGAGTGTTTAATTTTCGTAACTTTTATCGTTTGAACCACAATCAATCTCAAAATTATTCAAATTAAAAAATAATTTAACATTTTAAACCCACACCTCAAGTGAATGAAAAATTAAATGGAAAATGTTATTACAAACATAAAAATAAAATATTGGCTTGGACAAAAGTTAAAAAAATTTTGTTTCCGAAACAATAATGAAGTAATGAATAAACAATGATGAAATTATTATGCATAGAAAAATTGTTGGGTATAATAATTTGTTTCAAATTAATGTTCTTCATGTTACATTATCCTCTAGACCTCTTATTTTTGGGTAAAACGAGTTCTTAGAAAGCAGTTACTTCTTTCTACTTAGAGTCTAAAGTTGAGATAACTGCTTAAAATTTTCTCTTGTAATAGTGACCTATATCGTCTCGATACGCTATCTAACTTAAATCCCAAACTTGGAAGAAAACAAACGGGCAATTCACTAAATGTTCCAATAAAGCATTATCTGACTTAGTGTTTGTCGGAAAAAAAAACAAATTTCCGTGGAACGCTTTTCCAATTGAAAATTCGAATTAAAGAG